GTCAAGGAGTAGCAGTAGAAAGGCTGCAGAAAGAGTCCGGAGCCCAGAGCAGTGGCAAAGGAGGTGATGGGGTGGGGGCAGAAAGTGGAGACGAAAGCAGACAACAGACAATTGCTAGAGAGCAGGAAAGGAGCTTAAAGTTAAAGGAGACAGTTTTAGATAATAGAATGTTTCCGTCGCTACCCGGATTCGAACCCGGGACCTTTGAATGAGAGGCGGACACCTTAACCTCTAGGCCACGAGAGCCCCCGATTCAGACGTTTGACCTCGTACCATCCACGCTAAAAACAAATGGGTTGTCAAGTTTAAGCCCCAAGTTCACCGGATAGACAGAAACATGGGTCGGTACTTCCTAAGTTTCTAGGACAGTCTTTTGTGTTGCTGACCGTCCATCGAGGGGAAAGGTCTTGGGACGAAAAAAGACTTGAAAATCCCAGTATCCCTCACTCTGAAAAACCCTAAACGTATGGCTCAAAACCAAATTCTCTTTGTGTTACATTGTGTTAAAAGGTGTCACTCATGTTTAACGACCCCATTGACACAACTTAGAAAATAACAGTATTATCATTTAGGCACCCAGTACATCAGCACTGTCTCTCAAGGCCAACGCAAATTGTGTAGGACACAATACTACCTCAGTGCAAAATTTGAGAACACATTTATTAACTTATACCCACTGCACACTAAAAAATCTATTTCAGTCGAATTCAGTCGAACTCGGTCGAATTCAGTTTGGACAAGAAAGATTTTCCCCCAAAGGAGGGCAAAAGCTACCATCGTGGCACAATTTGACCGAATTTGACCGATTTTGATTGTGACTTTCAAAACTAAACGCGTTTCAAAGCTTCGACAACTCTTAATTCAGTAACTGCGCTGTCCAGCAGTCAGCACTTGTAGCTGTTATGGAAAGAAAGTTCTGTGTTGTAAATGTTAAGCTTTGTTTTCGGTAACAACGTGAGGCGGTAAAATTTTCTATTCTTCTTTGATACAACAAAGGCGGGGGTCTATAATTCGTAGTGTTCTGAAGCCGCCATCAATCGAACCTACTCTTACATACGTACTTTATCCTTCCTCTTGTACCTCTAGGGCGTCCTGGGGAGAAATAACTTTCTGTCTCAAGCAAGATCAATGGCCTGGCTGGGCGGAATGTCATTTTATTAGGGTATTCTTCACAACCTCGATCCAGGTCTTCCTTGGTCTTCCTTTTGCCTTGTACCCTGATATTCTTTTGCAATTTGTAGTATGCTTCACTGGCAAGTTGGTGAGGTGCCATACTTGTCAGATGTCCAAATCACCTGCTTAGTTGCTTTTGAATATAGTAGAGGACAAGTGGTGTTTCCATCCTTTTTATGACCCTGTTGTTTCTGATCATGTCCCATTAACCCGACGCAACCTGACAAGATCTGATCTGCAATGGGCACCTGGTATAACCTTTACATCTACAGACGTGAGTCGACACACGTTTGTCTTCTCCTAATGGGAGTCCTGCTGAAAATTGGAGAATTTTTTTGGTACTCTAGTCACGCAGAACAACATTGCAGTTATCATGTTCCCTCTTATCTTAGATCAACGGCCAGGCACGTATTGGGACCGACGAAATTAATTATATTATCTGTAACACTGCCGTTTTATATTTTAACCGCAGTAAGTAGAGCAAGTGTCCTCTGTCTGACCCTTCATTGTAGGCTACTTATATCTTAAGTATCACATTTTTCTGATCACACCTCGCAAACGTTACAAACTGGTACAAAAATAGACATCGGTACGAACCATCTCAAGATCTAATCGAATTAGTGACGACTATTATTATATGTTTTGAACATGAAACTTTGTTCGATTGTTATAAAGATTTGGGTTAGTTAGTACTTATTAATCCACCCCCCCCCAAAAAAAACTACCTAAAAGTAAGTAAAAGATGTGCGCGCTGGTATACACACACATAAACACTCACACCTCACA